TAATACTCTGTAGAACCGAAGCATTTCAGGTCGGTACCATAAGAGAACTGATGTTCGGTACCCAGCCCTAAACAGGAGTATATTAAAGTCTATTATCTGAGATTAGCACTGGGATAATATGCTCCACTTTCTTAGTTTTAGTGAGAATGCTGGCTGCAGCATTCCTAACCAGCTGCAGCTGTGTGATCCACATTTTAGGTAGACCTGTTAAGACACAACTGCAGTAATCAATTCTACTAAAGTCAAATGCATTAATTAGTTCTTCAAGGTCCTAATGGGACATTAGTCATTAAATCCTGATAATCTTTAGGCTGACTTTCTTACCATCCTAATGAGCCTCTGATGGTTCAGGTCCGAGTCCAATCTCTACACCCAGATTTAGATCCTTATTATCTAGCGGATTTAACTGAAGCAGTGTGTTAACTTTTACACACATATTTCCGGGGTTCAAGAACTATTACTTCAGTTTTGTTTTGATTCAGCTGAAACAAATGGTGCATCCATGCACATCCAGTCATCTGGTGACATCGTAATGTACAGCTGTGTGTCATCTACATGTTATGGTAACTAATACAGCTGTTTAGTAAAAACAGAGTTAGGGGGAGGATGTAAATAATAATAAATAAGGGGCCTTAAGATGGACCCTTGGGGAACGCCACATGGGATGGTGATCTCTGATGTAAAGTAGGATTTAAGCTATAAGTAAAATAGTAGAAATGCTCCATCTAAGATGGAGGTCTTCAACAAGGGGGTCCGTGACCCCTAGGGGGTCCATGGAGGTCATTTGCCATTTTCTATCATTTTCATGTTTTATCATAAACTGAGGAAGAAGAATCAGCCTAAAAAAAGAACAAACTCAGCCCAGCACAACAGGAGTTGCTTAGAAAGTCAGAGTAATCGGTATGGGCCTAAAAACACTGTATCCATTGATTTTTAGGTCTTTGTCAGGCATTTCTGCACAATATTCTTAACACCCTACCACATAATTTCTTCCTTTTAAATGTTGTTGCTGAAGTTCACATTGTCATTTTGTCCCCTGACCCATTTGGCTTCAGGCGGAGTATAAATGCGCCACAATCAGAATCAGAAATACTTTAATAATCCCAGAGGGAAATTACTTAATGTGACTCTAGAACAGATTGCTTACAGAGAAACTGAAGGGCTTGTCGCAGATATTTTTGATTTATGCCCAATATTCAAGCATGGTCTGTGCTGTTATTCCATACCACAACGCAAGAGGGTCAATCACGAACTAGCTGTGGGTCTAGATAAGGCAGAGGCGGTGAGGAAGTGGAAAAATGCGAAGTACAAGTTTGTGCGACAACAGAGGGACATGAGGGCAAAAAAGAGCAGGGATCCAGGTGGAAAAAGCGTTGTTGCGAACCTCGCTCGCTCTTCTAGTTGGTCCAACTTCAATGGCGGTCATACAAACAAAACAAGCCAGTAAGGTACCAAACAGGAAATACGCATAGTGTAGAGCGGATGTAGATTTGACCAATCAGAGGCCTCCTGTCTGCAGTCAACTACAATTTGGAAGAGGTGTAGCAGAGTGTAGGTGG